TGACCCTTGGCCGCGTCGTAGTACAGCACCTTGGGTGGTCCAGCCCACGATAACCAGCCTTGCGAAAAGCATCGCAGGCTCTCTTCACCTGTGATGGACCTCACTGCAGTAGTAGGGATGATCACCCGGAAACCCGACGCGTCGTCCAGAATCACCATGACCATCAGTCGGGTCCCGTCTGCTAGAATCACCTCGGCTTCGTCTAGGAACACGTTCTCATTGAATTCCGTCGAGAGCTTCAGGTTTGAGTTTCTTACCGTAGTCGGCCTGCCGAGCTCCTCGCACACGCCGCAGTCCAGCTTGTCAACCGCATCCAGCACTTGCTGCGACGCTCCGTAGGACTTCAGCCGACGCTTCAGTGCGTGAGCAGAGGGGTGGCTCAGGTTGAGGTGGAGCTTCTTGAGAGCGCCCCACTGGGCCGTGGTGATGTCCGAAGGCTTATCCCCGAAACTCTCACCCTCATGTTGTAGGTCTCGATGTGCCGTGTCAGCTTCACGATCATCTGGAGCAAAGGTCTTGGGCTTGCTCCCGTAGATGTGCACCGTCGCAGGGAAGGACGTCTGCACCTTCGGCTCCTTCACGTAAACTGCGATCACCGTGTCGGTGGGGAACCGCTTGACCAGCTTGATCGTCCCGAAGCCCGGGTCGCCCGCGTAGGCGTCGCTGTAGTCCGCCAGTGCGCCCTCGCTGGAGTACATCGCGCAGAGTCGCCGCACTGCCCCGCGAGGGGGCGGAACCTCCTCGTCACCCGTCCACACGCGCACGTCGATCAGATCTTTCCTTAGCTTGAACGCCTTGGCCACTGCATTCACGATCTGCTTGCTCGGGGACCTCGCCGTGCCGTTACCGATGCCCATCTCCTTCGGGCTTGTCCGTCGTGCCAACTCGTGCGTGCCGGCGCCCACCAGAGCCTTGCCCAGGTCGTCTGGCCAGGCGCCCGCTTGTGCCAGTGCCGTACTCCGCCCGACCATGTCGGCGTGCTGGTGGCTCCCGTCGCACCTGCGCTCGAGCCACCCAGAGAAGCACGAGCCGTTGGGCGCCATCATGCACGTCGGCTTGCGAATCGGGTCGCCGTAGTTGTCCACGAGCTCGTACATGCACTGGTGTAGCGTGACCGTCTCGTAGAGTGGCGGCTGGTTCCCGTGCCAGCTCAGCAGGTCCACGATCGAGGCTTCACGCCACGCCCGGCTGGTGAGGGGGTTCTCGCCGATGCCGATCCGTCCTCCCTGAGCCTGGATCTTGAGCACCTCCGCCGAAAAGTCGATCAGCGGCCGAAGCTCCTGGATGAGGTCGTCCACCCTGTCGCCCATACCCTGGGCACGCTGTAACTCTTGCATGTTCGTGTGAGCGGTACACGGGAATGCGACCGAAACCATCCAGGGCTTGAAGGTCCTAATCAAAAACAGGAAATCTGATCGTGTCCGAGGGTCGTTAAAGTTCACGCCAACTGACAGGTCCGAGGGGGTCGCATTCGCGTGACCACCCTTCGAAGCTACATGAGTAAAGCGAGCCTCCTTCGCGAACAACTCCCAGAGAAACGTCTCGTTGTTGTCCCGCAGTACATCGAATATAACCGCATACTCCTTCATAAGTTTGTCGATCCGCTTGAGCGTACCCTTCTTGAAGATCCCCTTGTTGCCGTTTTTCGTTGCATCCTGGACCCACCGATCGGCGTCGTCCTGGACCCCGAAGTCTGGCTTGGTCACCTGCAGCGTCTCCGCGACCAGGAAAACCTCCGGCTCGACTTTCTCGACGTTGATGCGGAATTTCTCGAAGAGAGGCTCCGCCTCGTACGACTCCAAGTCGTAGTCGAAGATGCCGATGCCCGCGTGGCCGCTGGGAAGCTTCACGAGCTCCTTGTCGTACACCCCGAGCTCCTGGAAGTCGGCCCACTGGCCGTCCTCGCGCAGGTACAGGTTCGTCTTCCAGTCCGCCAGGTTCTTCTTGCTCGTCAGGCCGATCATGTCGCCTGGGATCTCGAAATATTCTTGCAGGACATGCTTCTTGCCAATACCGATCGGGATGATCCACTTCTGCTTCGCCTCACGTCGTGCGCCGCCAAGTCCCTTGAACTTCTGGCTCGCCTCGACGATGATGGGCCTCAGACCATACTTCTCGAGCTCCGCGGCGATCTTATCCAGCCAGCCGCGCCCTGCCACCGCCACGGAGGCGCCGCTGTCCACCAGGGTGGCTGGCACGATCGTGCTCGAGATCATCGCGTCCACTTCTGGTACTTCAGGTAGGATCGGGTCGCTCTCCACTTTGACCATCATGATGTCGTGCTCGGCTGGCTCCTGGAACTTCTCCGTCGCAGGCTCCGGGTCCTGGGCGTCCTTCTGGTGGAACATGTCCGGCATGACGCACACCAGTGTGGTCATCGCCCAGAAACCAAGCCGTCGTGGACGTGATGGAGCCTTCGAGGTCTTGCCGCGGCCCTTGAAGCCCTTGCCTGCCGGCCGCGGAGGTCGTGGCGTCGGGCAGTCCGGTGTAGCGTGGTCCATTCTTCCGCAGTTGGTGCACCTCTTGTCTTTGGACTTACCTTTGCCACCGTCCTTGCCCTTGCCGCCTTTGCTTCCTTTCCCGGCTGCCTTGCCACCGGCCGCCGCGCTCTCGTCCACTACTCCATCGATTCGTCCCTTGAAGAAACCTCGAGCCGCCCGGATCTTGTTCATCTTCAGCCTGCTCTCGCGCAGCGTGACGAGGGCCTGCTGGTACTCGTCGTCCTCGCTCGCGAGGTGGACGTCGGTGTCGTCCTCGATGTAGAACATGTCACTGCTGTCCCAGTTGTCGTCGTCCTCCGCGAACGCGTAGACACCGTGCTCTTCGTCCCACTCGTACCAGTAGCCGTCGTCGTCCTGGACCCAGTACCCGTCGTGCTCGACGTTCTGGTCCTCATCCTCCGGGTCGCGCTCGCCGTCGTTGTTGTTTGCCCATCGCCAGCTCGTTCTCGCTCCCTGTCGATCCAGGTGCCGACCTCCGCCTCGCGGGAAGAGGTTCTTCAGCGTCGTGCTAATCTTCTGGAAGTTGAAGGTCTCGTCTGGCCGTGCTATCACTAGATTGCGCTCGTCATTGTCGAGTCCATTTCTCTTCAGCGTGTGGTACCCTAGCTCGTTCGCACTGATCTTCGTATCTGGGTCCACTTCCTCGAGGTTGCGCTTCGCCACCTCCATCGCTTTGCAAAACGCCGCCATCGGCTCTTCGCCCTTCTTCTCGAAGTGAGTCTTGTCGAAGAAGGCGTCGAACGCCTTCGGCAGCTCCCTGAAACTGCTCTTGGCGAAGCGCTGCTCCTCGAGGAATCGTAGTAGTATCTGGGCGCCGTCCTCCGTCGCGTAGTCCTTGGGATTCGTCTGCTCGATCAGCACGCTTATGGAGTTGTCCGCGCCCAGCAGGTTCCTGTACAGCTTCGGACCGAGCGCCTGCTTCGACTCCTTGTTCTCGCAGCTCAGCTCTGCCGCCTGAACTGCCCTCTTGTATCTGGTGAAGTCCTTCAACGTCTCGCCCTTCAGCACCAGTATCTTCGGGTCGACTGCGCTGTTATACTCGGCCATGTCGTACGTAGTCTCCGTGTTCGTACTCGCTGGGATGGCTAATCCCGATGTCCTCTGTGTCTGGAGCAGTGGGGCCAACCACTCGCTCCGCTACCAACCTCGTTCTGGCTGGAGCTCTCCCTCGCTCGATCCTCCGTGTCGGCGAGGTTAGTCCCAGCTCGAACTCTGTTCGCTCTGCCGAAACCTCGATGGCTCCTCTACCTCGCTGCTGCTGCTGTGGGGGAGGGAAGCCGCCTTTATTGCTCGAGCCCAAGCGCCGGCGCTGCATACACGCATGTTAGTTACTTGCAACATCCTAGACTCCCAGGGCAAGTCCTCCAGGAATCTTCAGAAATCACAGGGCACAAAACGTGTAAGGGCGGTGCCGGATTGGGCGCGGGTGCACCATGCGGACGCTGCCGCTGGGGCCTCTATTGGGCCACGAAGCGTGTGAGGGGTTTGCCGAAATGAGCGGCGCGGACGCATGTGGACGGTGTCACTGGGGCCTTGGTTGGAGCTCTCTATGGTGCCACGAAACGTGTGAAGGTGTGCGGAACTTGGTGACGATGATGGTGATGATGACAGCGATCATGATGACGGCGATGGTGATGGTGATGGTGATGGTGATGGTGATGGTGATGGTGATGGTGATGGTGATGGTGATGGTGATGGTGATGATGATGATGATGATGGTGATGGTGATGGTGATGGTAATGGTGATGGTGATGGTGATGGTGATGGTGATGGTGATGGTGATGGTGATGATGGTGATGATGATGATGATGCTGAGGATGCGAATGATGATGATGCTGGTGATGATGATGATGCTGCTGGTGATGATTCTTATGGTGATGCTGATGTTGATGGTGGTGATGCTGATGATGATGATGAGGAGGAGGAGGAGGGTGAGCATGAGGATGAGGATGAGGAGGAGGAGGAGGATTACGATGTTGACGGTGATGTGATGACAATGATGCTGATGATTATGCTGATGATGATGGAGGAGGGAGGAGCGGGAGGAGGAGACGGGACAGAGGGATGCGGGGCGCTGTCTCTTCAAAATGAGGACCCAATACCACAGGATGGTTAGGAAAAAAGGTTGGCATCTCATGGCCATTGTTTGAAAGTCCATTTCAAGCCCTCTTGGGCTCTTGGCACGTCTTGGAAGCGTCTTGGGCCGTCTGGAGGCCATCTTGGGCGTCCTGCAGGGATCGTTCGGCGACTCGGGGGCCTCTTGGACCGTCTTGGGAACCTCCTGATGACCTCTTGGCCCGTTTCGTGACCACGTCTTGGCTCCGGAGAAGTCATGCGGGACAGCTCAGAAGCGCCAGGAGCGCCCAGAAATATTCCCAAGAGCCACTGGAACTCAGGGCTTTGGGTGCCTTCAAGAGTCCTCAGGACTGAGGGCGCAGGACCCTAAGGGACCTGAGGACACTCCAACTCGTACCTCGAGGCATGGTGGCGGATATGTAGGCGCGCAGTAGAATGCGCAGATCGCTGCGAGCGAGCGCACGTAGGAACGCTTAGCGCGTGTTTCAGAATCTCCGCAGGACCTTCTGCCCTCCACTCTCTGCTCGTCCAAGCAGCACTTCAGAGTTGGAGTCGAGCTGGTCAGAGTGAGTCATGCCGCGAGAGTCTGGTGGAATCGAGTTAGTCAGCTTCAGGCCGAGAGGCGGCGGAAGCCAGGACGCGGCATGCGTCCGTTCGCTGCGAGCGAGCGCCAGTCGGAGAAAAATCGGGGGGCTGCTTCGATTCCGTGGCGCTGCAGGGTCCACGGCGGGCCAGGCCCGAATGCGTATTTGCTCGGCAGGGTCGAAGGGTGCATGTATCGCCACGCTTCCGGAGCGCGTCTCTTGAGACGCGTGCGAGGCTATCCTGGCAGGGCCCAACGTGAGAGAGGTCAAGTTCCAAGCAGGAACGCCGCAAGCTCTCTCGCGCATTCCCGCCCGCCGTCCCACCACATCAGCAGGTTACCAGACTCAACATGGGCAGCGATCGCCGTCCGATGAGGAGCCGCTGGGGATCAATACCGACGCCAGGTGCGCCACGCGTACCAGGTGCCCAAGCGTGTCCTGCGCGCCTTGTGTGCCAGATGTCTCACGTGCGCCAACCCTGAGATCCAGTCGTTGCAGTCTTTTCGCGCTGGGCGCCGTCGCCCGGTTTCGGGGCCCAGGGCCATTGCAGATCGATCTGGCCTGAGAGGTGCAGCGGGAAGGTTGGGTCCAGGGCTCTGGCCGTGACCTTTCGCCATGTTGCATCTGTTCACAACGTGCGATCTCGAGGTAGTGTATTGTATGCCACATGCTATGGGAGTGCCACGTGCGCGCCGCGCGCAGAGTGCACCACGTGGCGCGCGCAGGGTGCTCTGCGTGCGCCAGCGAAAGCGTCAGCACACGTATGGGCAGCCCGTCGGCCCCCCAGCCATCAGTTCCAGAGAACAGTGCAGAGCAGCGGCGGGTTGACCAGCATGGCGCGTGCAGTCTGCGTGACCAGCGTGGCGCCTTGGTTTTCGACAGCGGTTGTGGACCAGCGCACAGCGCGAAAAAAAGGATCACTCTAACTGCTCTTGGCAAAACCACATGCGAAGTGATGACGGGGCCCTTGTGCCCGCATTTGGTCCCGTCTTTGCCGCAGCGTGCTCGTTGCATTGCCTTTTGACACGGACGGAGGGGTTGGGGGGGGAGCATGCGTCTGGCCAGTCGAACGTAGGGCGGGGAGGGGGTGCGTTTCCTCAAAAGTAGCAGCGTTGAACCCGTCCCCTGAAGGGCAAGAGTGGGGCTGGAAGAGCTGTTTTTTCAAACCCCCTGCGGCCCGAATGGGCTTGCCCACATACGACCATCGGGCCATGTCGGCGCACCCATCGCACGTCTCGCGTCCTACAGGGACCCTCAACTACGGCCCTACTGGGCGCGCCCGCATACGATTACCAGCCAATGTGGGCGAGCCCTTCGTACATTCCGTGTTCCATATGGTGTACAATGGAGGAGGTCCCGATGAGGGCGGTTGTTTTGTAGGCTCCGAGAACGGCCTCAGTGAGGGCTGGCCCATACGACTATTGGTGTATGTTGGGCGCACTTCTCACACCGTCGCCCCATGGAAGCCCCAACCAGACCCCCAGTACAAGCGGGCGGCCGCACCGGACGTTCCAAGAGTCCCAAAAAGTCGACGACATGGCGGGGGGGCTCAAGAGCCCCAAGCGACTTCTCGTGGCATGAAGCCCAAGGATATGACGGCCGCTCGACGGGCCCCAAGCGATCAGTTGCCTCCTATCATAGTGCTCGAGGAGTTGGGGGAGTTGAGCTCATGGCAGTATCCCTCAACAAGATGCTCGTAAATTTGGCTGTCGCTGTATGAGCCCCAAGCAGCATAGAGCGCAAGGAACCGGCATGCGGCTCGGGAGCCCCAGCTCGTAGCCCTCGCCATTCAATTCGAGGATTTGACGAGCGTTCCGAGACCCTCGAGCAGTATCCCCCAGCATGAAGTTAGGAGAATGTGGCGGGCGTTCCAAGAACCCCAGCCGATATCCGTTTGGAATCAAGCTCGAAGATTTGGCGGGCGCTCTAACAGTTTCCTGCGATATCCTCCAGCATACAACGAGAGGACGTGGTGGACGTTTCAAGAGCCCAAACCGGTATCTCCTGGCTTGAAGCTCGAGGGGTTGGCGGGCGTTGCAAGAGCCCCCGCCGATCCCCGCAAGCATGAAGGAGCTCGACAGTTTGGTGGACACTCTGAGAGACCTGGCTGATATCTCCTGGCAGAGGGTTCCAGGATGCATGAACACATCGCTCTATCTTGCACATCCCCATGTTCGATGTTCGACAGTGTAAATGAAGGGCTTCATGCCATCAGCATGGCGCATTGGTTTACCGAAAGCGCTTACGGTTTCTGAGGGAAGAACAAATGAACATGTTGGTTGGATTCTGGGCTGATTTGTTTCTACGTGCGGGATGTCCGCCAGGAAAAGGATCGCCGCCATCTGTGAAATAACACGGAGGCCTCCCAGACCATCGCCGAGTCCCCTGGGAGCCCTCGTGGGAAGGCTCCTGAGCCGTCTTGAGGGCCTCTGGGCGCATCCTGGGGCCAGCCTGGGCCGTCCTGAAGGCGACCTCTGGCGCCTCTTGGTATGCTTTTGGGGCTTTCGGAAAGCCGAAAGGGCGAGAACGCTAACAACCCCTGAGGAGGAGGAGGAGGAGCAGGAGGAGGAGGAGGATGTTTGCCTCTGGAGGCCCTCTTGGAGCCCTCTTCGGGCGTCTTCGAGGCTGTCTGAGCCGCCGTGGAAGCCAGTTCAGAGCATCTCGGGCACCCTGGAAGGCCTCCGTGAATCCTTTCGGAGGCGTCTTGTGCCCTCCCTCAGGGAGTTTGGCCGTCCTGGGCCGTCTTGTGTCTTCTCGGAGGCCCAAACAGGCAAGAACTTCCACAATCTGTTGTTTTACAAATCTTGATCTTCGGAATCTCAGTGATTCAGGCCTCTTGTGGGCAAAGGCTTGCTGAGCCCTAGTGGAGCTTCTCGAGGGCATCTTTGGCTGTCTTGAGTCTCTCTTGAAGAAACTTGGGAGTAGACTGTGTCGTCTTGAAGCCATCTTGGCCCGGCCCTCTTAGGCCGTCTCTCCTTAAGCGTCTTGGTGTTGTTCTTGCGCTTTTGAGGCCCAAGTAGAGGTCGCCACGTGAGGTTCCTCGGTGGCACAACGATGGTGTGACGGATGTGGTTGGGTGCCAGTGGGGGTTACAGGGAATTCTTGACGCTTCGCGTATCCCCACCAGCCTGGCTTCTCGACCACCACCTGCGGGTGGTTCAGGTAAGGCACACTCCTGCACAAGTGGTTTATCATTTGGCAGGCCCGGCCTTTCCACGACGTGCCCGTTCCTCTATACGGCGCCGTCGCCCTGGAGGACGGCTTCCTGTACAAGTGGTGCATCCTTTGGCAGGTCCGTGCCTCTTCTTGGCAGGCGTTTCCCGGTTCCCGGCGTTGCCAGCGACATCTGCTTCTTCCTTTGGTAGAGGTTCACGCTCGCGGACGCCATCGACGTCTTGCCCTTCTGCGATGATCAGGTGGTGCACTCCTGCCCGCAGTTCCCCCCTGGCGAGGCTCTGAGCACTGGTGGTTGTGACGTGGCCCCCACGCGACGTTTATCCCTGTCTTCGGTGGTGGTGGTTGCCACTCGGGATTCACGACTTGTCCACCAAGGATTGGGTCAGTGACGGCCTGCCTTCGAGCACCTGGTGTTCCGTGAGTGAGGTTTCTTTCTTTTCCTCCCCTCGTCCCTCTCAGCGCCCGGCTTCATGGTGTTGGCGCCACGTGCGTCGCCACGTGCGGCTGGCTCGCGACAGGCGCTCTGCCTCTCTTAGGCTTGTTGCCTCCGTCTGCCCGTTTTCCCCAATTTGTTCTGCATGTTGCATGTGCGGTCGGCTGTCGACAGTGACAGCTGGGTTCGCAAATTATCTGGCTTTGTGCCCCAGTCAGCCCGATTGACACGCCCTCTGGACTCTTCCTTGCGGGCTGCAGATCAAAAAAATACCCCCGCCAGCCCATCCAGAAACGATGCCCAGGCGAATGGAGGTGATCAGGGAAGTGAGGGAGCATACAGAGTAGCACACGGCCGGGGAACCCGTCTTACCGAAGACGGCGAGGATGGAGGAGGAATCGGAGAAGGATGAGGAGGAGGAGGAGGAGGAGGAACTGAAGGAGGAGGGGGGGGGCGGGAGGAGGGAGGAGGGAGGAGGAGGAATAGGCGGATGAGGAGGAGGAGGAGCAGCAAGAGGAGCAGGAGGAGGAGGAGAAGGGCGAGCAAAATGGCCAGAGGTTTCTTGGATGCCTCTCGGAGTCTCTTCGGATGTCTCTTGGGAGCGTCCTGAAGGCCTCTTAGGGCGTCTTGGGGGCGTCTTGGCGGCCCCGGAGGCCTCTTGAAGCGTCTCGGGTGCCTCGGGGAGCATCCTGAGGCCTCTTAGAATTGAGGGAGGATAGGGGTCATCTGGTGCGTTTTTTTTGTGTGAGAATAGAGCGATTGAGCTATGGGTGGTCGGCAGATCTGGCGTGGCCCACCGGGGGTGGGGGGGCGGGGCAGTGACATGATGCTCACACGTCGTCTTATATCACACGCGCTTCGCACTTCTATTGCATCTTTGCCTGGGAGGCTGACGCCACGTCCGCTGACCCTCGGAGACCTGTCGGTCTCCCATCCCCCTGCGAGTGGGACTTGCTCGGGAGCTTGAAGCCCCGCAGCCCCTGTCATTGAATAAATACATTGCGTTCTATGGTTGTAGCAGCCGCAGTGCGGTCGCCATTGCCAATTCAGTTGTCCCGATCAGTCAACATGCAATCTCGTCGCGAAGTTTGCTCGTGGCTGTCGAGGAGGATCGAGTATTCTCGAGGCGGTTAGAGGGTTAAGGAGGACCGAAGAAGACAAGGGATCGCGGAGAGGCGAGGAGCCAGGAAGTTCGAGAATAGGGGAGGATCAGGAGCCGGGGAAGATCAAGAGTTATCGAGGAGGATTGAGGGTTGATGAAGATTTGCGATGATCGAGGAAGATCGGGGATCGCCGAGGATCGAGGAGCGATGAGGACCGACGACCGAGAAAGGCCGAGGAAGATCGGGGATCGAGGAGGGTCGAGTAGCGAGGATAAGCGATGAGGATCGAGGATCGAGGATGACCGATGATGAAGAGGGATAGGAGGATCAACACAAGTCCCCTCATCGGGGGTCGGCTTCCAGTTTCCTGAAAAGCCCGCCCCCTCCCCTCGGCGGAAGCGATTGTTCAGGGAACTCGCAAAGGACGTCTTCCCTCCTTCACCAGCAAGGCACCCTTGTTCTCCGCCTCTTCCTCCTCCTCCTCCCCCTCCTCCTCCTCCTCCTCCTCCTCCTCCTCCTCCTCCTCCCCCTCCTCCTCCTGGTTACGGGTTCCTGGTGGCAAGAGGTCCCTTCGGGTGCTGCCCTCCCCCCCCCTCCCCCCCCCCAGGCCCGGTCGGCCCTGGCGGGTTTCTCCAACGAACAGCCAAGCGACTCCTGGAGCGATCGTTTCACGAATCGCCGGCTGGAGGTAGCTATTGCTCATTTCTAGCTATTCGAAAGTTCTTTGATTTTTTGGGGGCCAAGATCCTTAATTCTTCTATCCTGGGCCTCTTCCTGGCCGCTAGGGGGACAGGAACAGTTCGAAACGAGCTCAATTAGAAGTGAGCACGATTAGAAATGAACGACGTGTAGACAGCAAGAAGCAAAGGTCAGCAGACGGCAGCAGACCGATCAGAACCTCGAATGGAGAGGAAGGATAGGACTTGGCGGCGGCTGCAGCGGGCCAATCTCGCCAGAGTGGAAGGCGCAAAGGCTTCTCCCCCTGCTCATAGGAACCCCTCACAGGCGTCCCCAGACCAACGTCGGGAACCCTCACCTGCGAGCAGGCAGAGGTTCCCAGAACGTTGGCCTGGGGGCCTCCTGGGGGGGGTCCACCGAGCGTGGGGGAGGTTTGAACCTTCCGCGGCGGTGGCCTTTCCCGCGACGCTTCTCGCAGCTGTACGTCTTGAGACAGCTTTGCGTCTTGAGACAGCTGTGCGTCTTGAGCTGCTCCTGTTGCGACGCTTCTCGCAGCTGTGCGTCTTGAGACATATGTGCGTCTTGAGACATATGCTACTGTTGTTGCTGATTCTGTTGCGACGCTTCTGATGTCCTCCTCCGTCTCCTCCTCCTCCTCCTCCTCCTCCTCTTCCTCCTCCTCCTCCTCTCCTCCTCCTCCTCCTCCTCCTCCTCCTCCTCCTCCTCCTCCTCCTCCTCCGTCTCGTCCTCCTCCTCCTTGTCCTCTTTCTGCTGCAGTTCCTTTTCGTAAATCTGAGTGTTCCCTCCGATCTCCCCATCCTGAGGGGGCCGAGGGGCCACACCCTAGCAGTCCCAAGTTCCGTTGGAAGGTTCCCCGCTGAGGGCGACTTGTCAGGAAAGTTGAATCCGTTGTATCGGCGCCCTCCGAGCATCGTCCTCATCGCCGTCAACGTCCAATTCTCGCCCATCCCTCTTCCCTCCTCCCTAACCCAGCCTCACTCCTCTTATCCCAGCCTCTCCCTCCTCCCGGACAGTCGGCCCCACTGCCAAGCCATGGACTGGCAGCCAGCCCAACTTTCACATGCACAGCTTAGCTGCGCCCGCTCGGGCATCTTAGACAGTCGTGCTCCGCTTTCAGGAGGGGGGAGTGCGACCAGCTCCGCGGTTGCGCTGATTTTTGCCCACTACCCAGCGCAGGCGAAGCATAGGGGGGGGGGGCAGAACTGCACCGCGAGAGCGGGGTTCCACTGACCGCACTCTTGACCTGACGGTGGGATCTGACTGTCGCGGAGGGCTAGACACGTTTGGGCATACTTCGCCCCTCAGCTCTGATATCTGAGGCGTTCCAAAAAGGTTCTTGCCTTCGAGGGTCGAAGGAGCTGTCATTTCTTCCTCGGCGGAGGGGCGGCGGAAGGTCGGCGGAGGTAAAACGAGGCCGCCTCCGCTGGCGGAGGCTGGCGGAAGGTTGGCGGAAGGCGGCGGAAGTAAAGGATGCGCCCCCAAGAAATGACAACGTTTTTAGGTTCAGGGTTTCCGAAATCGCCCATCTGGAGGTCGGAGGATGGAGAGAGAGGAGGGGGAGTATCTCACACGCCGAGCACCCCAACGGGTCGGTGAATTGGCTTGAGCTTTTCAGGCCAGCAGCTGGCAAATCCCAAATGCGGAAGCCACGCTTCAGGAGGCAGCTCGACATCGGTTCTCAACCGCCACATCCGCCAGCCTCGGCGCGCTTTGTGGATGGCTAGCTGCACTGCCACTGCCTCTGGAAACCTGCTGCCATCTGGGGCTCAGGGAGATACCAGGCACAGCCGGCGCGCCGCTGCATGGCGCGTCCACTCGCCGTGGTGGACGGTGGCACCGGGTCCGACTCTTCCAGCGGGCCAGAGTGCAGTTCCGTCAATGGCAGCGGCAACGCGGTCAGGACGTGCATTGGCTCGTGCAAGGTCTATTTGGTCTTGCTGATCCTCGCGGCCTTGCTGGCGCTGTCGATCGTCTTCCTGCCGCGGTCGGGCCAGGCCGAACACATCGCTATCGCCAAGTGGTGGATGGAGAGGAAAGTAAAGAAGGACTACTCGGGCAGGTGGTGCGCCGGCATCGCGGAACACCCGCTGTGGGGCACGGAGGAGGTCACGGGCCTGTGCCCGCCTGCCCGCGACATACTCTTCGAGACCAACGTGTCAGCTCCAGTGCTTGACGAGAACCTGACCGCCAGGCAGCTCAAAAACGTCCGGGACTACCTGGATGAACCGAACAACTTGTCAGGTCAGGAGTACGAACTGTACGACGAGGCCTTGGGCGTGCTGGAGAAAATCAGTACACTGCAGCCTAAGGACGTGTTGGCATTCCGCGAGACGTGGACCAATGCAGATACTGACATCCTCCGGGCGCTTGACAGCAATCCCAGGGTTTGGTTGCCGCAGGGGGGGAAGCTTACGACGACTGCTTTCGCCTCGCAGCTGCCAAGCGTCGCCGACTTCAGGCGGCTAGTTGAGAGTGGTCCAGCGGCGATTGTTGGAGGAGCGGACAGCCTGGTGAACATGAGCTTGGGGCATGAGATAGATGCGCATCCAGTCGTCGTGCGATTTAACGCAATAATCGGTGACAAGCTTTCCGCGCCTGAGACCGGAGTCAAAATGAATTTGCATGTCATGTGCGCCAAAGTACCCCCTGCCACGGACAGCAGCGTCTGGGAGATGGACCTAGAGGCCAGCACGCCTTGGAGAACGTATTGTGGCAGAATGCACAAGGGTGGTGAGTTCGAGAACGTCACGGTGCGGAGTAAGTTGTTCATGTTCCGGCCTTCTGCATTCTGCCGGAAAGAAACACGTTTTGATTTTCAAGGTTGGACAAGAGGATTTCTGTTTTATTGGTTTGTCGGCCGCCTGTTTGACAGCCTCACCATGTATGGATTCAAAGGGGGCGGGCACTACAAGAACGATGAAGTCATGCATGAGCGTTACTGGACATTCGAGCATTTCTTCTATGACATTAATGAGCCAGATCGTTATTGAAGTAAGTATTCTGCAGTTGTGTTCAATTCATGTCTTCAGGTTCTGTCAGCGTCTCACTCGTTATTCTACCTTCAAGCCCAGCTAAGTTGATTGCGCAGGCTCGTGGATACTGCTTGGCAATACTCTGGCGCAGCAGTTCCCCGTGGCCGTGCTGGCGATGTACAGCGAGGTCCACGGCGGGAATGCCAAACAATTCATTTTAGCACGACGCTTCCCATGAAGCACTTCATTGCTGTTTTGGACAGGAAGAAAAAAGGTCACAGTCCGGGAAACAGTCTATCATGCCCAGTGTCGGAGCCCAGGATGATAGGGGGAAAGAAGACGGAAGAGGAATTATGAGCGAGGATAACGAGGAAGGAAGGGAAATGGGAGGACGGGGAGGTTGGAGGAGAAGCAAGAACAGAAGAGAAGGAAGAGGAGAAGGAGGTGGAGGAGGAGTGGTAAGGTTTGGAAGGAGAGGAGCAGACAAAGGAGCAGCAGCAGCAGGAGGAGGACAAGAAGGAGGAGGAATACGATGAGCAAGCTGGAGCAGGTGAAGGAAGAGGAGAAGGATCATGACGATCAGCAGGAGAAGAGGAGAAAGATGAGGAGAGGGAGGATGATTGGGAGAAGGGTGGACAGAGGAGGTTGAGCAGGGAGAGGCAAAGGAGGAGGACGAAGGGCAGAGGAGGAGAACGAGAAGGAGAAACAAACTGATAAGATGGGGGTGAGGTGAAGTGGTGTAGTAATCTGATGGTAACTATGAGGACGAATAACTTGATGTAAGGGATGGGCGGAAATCGAGAGATGAGGGCATAGGATAAGTTGGATAGTTCGGATGAGGAGAAGAAGAAGAAGAAGGAGATGAAACCGACGAGAACGAAAAGAGGAGAGGAAGGACAACGACGACGAGGAGGAGGAGGAGGAGGAAGCGAGTTTGAAAGTGGGCGATCCATCATCGTGGTATGGAATGGCCATCGCTCCAGTTCACCAATGTATTAACCCGTGCGTCGTGGTCCGCATCGCGGACGCCCGTAAAACTTGCAAGGTGCTCAGTAACATTTCATTGAGAGCATCCCGCTTGCACCCTGTATGGTCGGTTTTCGAGGGACTGGAACCTAAGCGCGAGCGAAAGGCGTGATTACAGCATGCATTTGATCCAGAAAAGAGGTGGGGCCAAAAATCAGGTCCACGAACCCCCGCTCGCGGTCCACCTCCCCTCTGTGGGTTCCTGAGCCCCCATGGGCCGGCCCCGTCGGGGCCTCCCAGCCTCTTGGAGAAGGCTTGGATCACCTTCCACCCTGGAGGCGTTCTCTTTGGGGTTTCTGGGATCGCTGGGATCCTCTCGAAGTCCCCCATGGAACTCTCCCCTGATCTGCGTGGGCCGCCCCCTCAAAAGCCGCCCCCGAGAGCCCCCGAAGCAGGCGCCCGAGAAGGGGGGCTAAGACACGAGTTGTATCGAAGCGTGCGCGAGCCGGACGAGGCGGGGTGGCATTGGATGTCGCGCCAGTGTTGCATACACCAGAGCAGCGCGTGCGTGTCGCGGGCGTTTAGCGCACAGCTTCTTGTCGAGGACCATCTCGCGTTTCTCGCGTGCGATTGCCTCCTCCGGCGTATCAGCCACAAGGTTACCTGGTGTTCTTCTTCTGCACCTCCTCATCACCATTGAGCATTGACGCTCGAAGTGTCTTGACACAATGCTGAAGGCGTGACGGAGCTATTTGGAGCTTCTATCGGCGACCATCAGGCATCGGGTTGGCAGTGTTCGGACTCCCTGAGGCTGTCTCTCGGTGCTTTGGTGTGCCGTCTTGGGGCCCCCCTCGTCAGGGCGCTCCGGCCCTCCAGGAGCGATGTTCTTTTTGTCCTGCGAGAGAATCGAAGGCAGCGGCGTCGAGTGAGCACTCCCGGCTGCCATGTCCAGGCGGAGAACCGCTGTCCACGCCCAGAGGCCGCACGCATCCGCCCCCGGGCGGCCCAAAGCGTGTCGCCCAGTTGCAGCTCGACTGCGGCCGCAGTTGCGGCTGCGGTGGCGCCCGCGCCCACGGGCGGCCCGAAATGGTGTCGCGCCCAGCTTTCTGTTCCGCCCCGCTCGAGGAGGTTGGCCCGAAATATCTCGGCTGCTTGCGGTTGCGGTGGTAGTTGAACCTGAGGCCTGCACGAAATGCGTCGCCCGTTCACAGCTGCGGGCGCGGCTGCGGCGGTTGCGCGCGCCTGCGGGGAGTCCGAAATGTGTCGCCCAGTTGTGGGCGCGGTTGCGGCCGCCCGCGCCCCTGGGCAGTCCCAGGTGTGCAATCCGTTAGTTCGCTCAGTCGCGGTTGCGGGCGTGGTTTCGAGGGCAGCTGCGCCCTCCCATGGGCTGCGTCGCCCGGCCGCGGTTGCGGGCGCAATCACAAGAAACTTGTTTTAATTAGGCGCGGTGGCGCGGTTGCGGTTGCGCGCGCCCGCGGGCGGCCCGAGATGTGTCGCCAGTTTGGTCGCCCGGCGGCGGTTGGTGGCGCAGTTGCGCTCCGGAGGTCTCTCGCCAGTTCTGGCTTCCCTCCACGGGCCCCGGGACCGTCAGAAGACGGCTCAGGATGAAGAATTGGTTTGGGGGGAAGGCTCCAGGGTCCAGGACTCGTTTCCCTCCGGTCCCCGTTTCCCCCGTGCTCGCTTCCGGGCGGCAGAACATGTGTCGCCCGAGTGTGGCTCTGGGCGCAGAGCGCAGAGACAGACGCCGTTGCGGTTGCGTGCGTCCGCGAGCGACCCCCGAAATGTATCGCCTGGTTGCGGGCGCGTTCGCGGTTGCGCACGCCACCAGGCGGCCCGAAAGGCGTCGCCAGGGTTTGGGTTGCGGTTGCGCGCGCGCGCGTCCGCTGGCGGCCCGCAGTACGTCGCCTGGTTGCGGCTGCGGTTGCGGGCGTGGTTGCGGTTGCGGTTGCGCGATTGCGGGTGACGTGCCGCCGTGTTGCGTTTGCGATTGCACGCTCCCCCGGGCGGCCCAAAGAGCGTCCCCAGCGTAGCGTTGCGGGCGCGGTTGCGGGGTTGCGGTTGCGGGCGCCTGCGGGCGGCGCTTTTCTCCGAGCCTTCCGTTGCTGTTTGTCAGTGCCAGCGTTGGTGGGCACGGGATTCGACCAAGTTCCGCCAGGATAAACAGACACAATAAGCAGGTTCAGGTGTGTAAGCGTTGATGGTTTACCAAATGGTCCTATGGTCCTGCATTGTGTTTGCAAGTATCGAAGAGGTGTTCGGCATTTGCTTCGCCTCGCTCACTCGTCGGTAGGCAATGTAGTTCTTGAGGCGGCGGCCCAATTGAAGTTGCCCCAAGCCCCAAAATATCGAGAGCTCGGTCTAAACCAGGCTGTCCATTAGTTGCCGTTGGTGCACCGTCAGGTCCGCGATCTTCAGGCGGGCCAGTTGGCACAAGGAGAGCAGTTGTTGGAGGGGCCGCGGGGGTGGGCATTGCGTCTTCAAATTGATGTTATGTGGAATGGGCAAGTCTGGGGGAAAGTATAAGTTCGCCGGACCCTTCGGCGTGCGCAGGCTCAGGGTGAACATGGCCAGTTTGGAAAGCCCTGGTGGAGGAGAAGGAGTGCGTTCGGGTTCCCTGGGATCTCTAGCTTCAGGAGGTGGTCGTTCGGGGTAGGGGCTCGGAGGGAGAGCGCGTTGGGGCGGCGGGTCGTATTGAGCCCTTCCAGGCGATAACGGTTCGGGCCCGAGTGCCGTGGGGGGAGCAAGAAGTGTTTGGATAGGGTGGGTGAATGGGAAGGGGTTACGTTAGGGAAGTCGGGAGGCGGACCGGGTAGTGCCGTAGTTGATGGTAGGTCAGGACGCCGTTGTCGTAAAGGTTCTCGCCTTCGCGCGGTCGTTGGTCGTGATTCAGCTGGTCTTCTGGATGGATGGTGTTCTTCCGTCGTGCGTCTTTCGCTTGGCGGTTCCAGCCCCAAGAGTTGCAGTGCCCGGTCGAGTCCTAGCAGTCCTGGGTTCGTTGCTTCTCCGATCCGGATGCCTGCTGTTGGGGAAAATTTGTACGGCAAGTCGTATTGGAAAGATATTCGTGTATGGTATTTTTCCCACCACGTATGCACACCAACAGCTATCCTACACCATTTCGCATACACTCCCGGCCGCGGCGCTCGCGACGCACTGCTGTTCTTAGTGATGTTTTGGCTGCTCGCCTTGACCCAGAGAAACGGGGTTGCAGTGTATTGTTCGGACGCGTCTGGTGCTTTTGACAGAGTGTCCGCGACCCGCCTTTGTGCCAAACTCGCGGCGGCTGGTCTGCCAGCCTCCTTGCTCGCCGTCCTGCAGGATTGGCTCTCCGCTAGGTCAGCCCGTGTAGTAGTAGATGGAGCTGTGTCTCGTATTGTTCGAATGGTTGACATGATTTATCAGGGTACAGTTTTCGGACCCCCTTTCTGGAACGTATTTTACGCTGGCGCTCAACATCCAATTCGCCAGAGCGGGTTCCGAGAAATCGTTGTTTTGCAGATGATTTGAACGCATTTCGCGCTCTCGATGCCAGTTTGTCAGACCAAGATGCCGTCTCTTTGGTGTCTTCGTGCAAACAGGAACTTCACGTTTGGGGCGCGGCCAATGGTGTTACTTTTGACCCATCCAAAGAGAGCGTGCACGTGCTATCCAGTACTCGACCGCTCGGCGACGATTTTAAATTGTCCGGAGCTGTTTTTGATTGTAAACTGCTTGTGCGCGAAGCTGTCCAATCACGCGCCAGCGAGGCTGGTTGGCGAACGACGACGTTACTATATTCTCGTAGTTTTTTATATTGTGCGGGTAGTGATTTTATTATATAAGAGCCATGTGCTTTCATACGTCGAATATCGCACTGCAGCAGTGAGCCATGCATCAACAACCGTGTTGAGTGCGATAGACAATATACCGGAGCGATTTTTGTGCGCCTTAGGAGTGTCGGCCGAAACTGCGTTGCTTGAGTTTGCTCTGGCCCCGCTGCCCTCTCGCCGGGACATTGCTATCCTCGGACTGATCCACAGGACCATTCTTGGTTCCGGGCCGCGCATGTTCAACGATTTTTTCCGCCTTGACCTCTCTCCCCCCCCTCCGCGCGCCCCTCGTCGCCATCGTTTCCATCTGGCTGACCCCTGTGGCATTCGCTCGCCGGACTACATGCTACGGTCTCCATTTAACGCCGTTCGACTGTACAATATCCTTCCGGATAGCGTTGTTCAGCAGCAGAGCGTGCATGAGTTCCAATCGGCTTTGCAAGAACTCTTGCGCCACTGCGTGCGCCATCTTCTCCCGGAGTGGAAAAGCATGTTGAGCTGGAGGCAACCATTT